AAATATTTTAATGTTATTCTGGGCACTATCTTCCATGTTGACAGTTGCAAGTTAATAAAACTAATCCCTAATAATTTAGGAGTTTGACTATTGCAGAATGAAACTGATAAATTTTTCTTTTTTCACAATTTTTCAAAAGTGAATTGTTAAGTCTAGACTTCAAAGAAGTCATTATATCATATTGGATTCACATTCAATTCATCATCCATTGAACTTGTCATTCTCTAACAGGAAGACTCAAAATATAATTCATACAGAATCTTTAGTTGTCATTCATTTTATTTAATTATCTTTCAATAAAATAAATAACAAAGAGCTGAAGATAATCAGCACTTCACTTCAAAAATGAAATATCATCATTAAAATACAATAATGAATTATGTTTATCTTTGAGACTCAGATTGAGATGCAGAGTTACAAAATATTTGAAAAGAATAAAACAAACACAAAAAATTTAAATTGATTAAAACGATACTTAAAATGTAAAATTATAATCTACCAAGAGCAAATAAAATTTTATGCATTTTATGATTGATGCTAAGTTGCATGTTAAAATTACTTCATTAAGTTCCTTTTTGCTCCTCATTGGAATATGAAAGAACACAAAATATCATTGTTTTACAATTTTAAGATTACTATCAGTGACTATCATAAGTTTAGCAATATTAAAGTTGATTAATCTCTAATTATATCTTATTTAAATGTTCATGTTTTATGTTTCATGTAAATATTATAGTTTTTCTTATTATTTTGTTTTTAGGGATGAATATAAATCAAGCATAAAAAAATGGAAAAAATAAGTGCTCTAGCAAAAATATTTTAAATCGTGCTAATGGTATGTGATTTGCAAATGACATTACATGATATCAGTTTTCAAGATATTATATGATTTGAATTCCAATTGTTAGGAAAATAAATGTGATAATATTTAACATAAAACATATATTACTTGTTCTTATCTGTTAAAATGTTTTCTGTTTTTGATTTCAAGCCTTTGACACAAACTGATGTCAAGAGACAAAGTGATTGACATCAATTAATATCATGCCGAGATACTTTTGAAATATGTTGAAAAATATTTTATTGTTAAACATTCCTGACTTCCATAAAACTGTTTAACAATGTTTTTTTTATTTAATAGTAGAATCAGGACCAGTCCAAATAATTTTGGTGTCTGAGGCAAGCCTATGAACAATGCCATATTTCTATAAACTTATATTATATTTCTATAAACTTTATAACATCTTTATAGTATCACTTTCAATTTGGTGCCTGAGGCAGTTGCCTCTCCATCTCATCTTTAACAAGGCTCTGAATAGAATAGATATGTTAACTACATAAAATATGGTGAACTATACTCAGACATATCATTTGATATCATTTCAAAATGAAGAAAACATTTACTAGTAGTAAGTATAGCAAGCATATGAAGAAATCATAATTAATGTAATTATTCCTAATTGGTTACATGTTAACTTCTCATAACTTATTCTAAACAATTTGATGAGTACAACTTCTCTTTTATTTGTTGAACTATAAATTAGCCACAAAATTTAAGAAATAAAAATTTCAGTTATCAAATAACTTAGAATTTAAGAAGCAGTGTCCAATTGATCAAAAGTAAGAGAAAAGTTAACCAAATCAAACTATAGTAAACAAAACTTAGAATAAAAGAGTCACTGTTCTTAGCCTAAAGTTTGTGATTTTCAATTTATCACAACAAGCTGCAGTTTTAGAATATAGTAAAAATGCATTAAATGAAATAATGCTTATGATTTACAACTTTTAAATTTGTATAATCAATTGTTTTTTTGCAAATTACAATGCTATTTTTTATCATACATTCAGTGAAATAAATATATAGTAGTCATGTATTAGAACCATGTTGTAATATAATTTTAAACCCAAAATTACTCTATTTTATATTTAACAAATATATAGCAAAATATCTATTTGCTTCACAAGAAAATTTTCATTTTGGAGTCATTTGTCATTCATTTCCATAATATTCTCAAGGAACATCTTGTCATTAGCACTATTAAATATGATAATGTTAACAAATAATAATATGTAATCACATTTAATATTGAAAACAAAAAATTAGACTGCATGACAACTTATCAAGCAGGTAAATAATATATCATCATTATGTTTAGTTCATTTTGTAACTATATTCTCTATTTACACTTTTAAGTGATTAAAGATTTTGTAAAAATTTCTTAAAACAAAAAGCCATATAAAAGATCATGGTCTTATAATGCTATATTAAATTATAAAACTAAACAAAAACCATGCATCAATTATTTTAGAACAATCTTGAGAGATGAGCTGAGCTCATCTTTCAAGATTGTTCAGATATGATACATCTATATCTATATATATATATAAAAAAAATGGACGTGTGTGTCCCTATATTTCACTTTTCTGCCAAAACTACATATCGCACATGGATGGTGTTTGTATGTGGTAGTAGCCCCAAGTCTCCATTCGTGCACTATGGTGGTTGCGTCTCGATAGCTATAAGGGTGCGGGAGATATGGGGCTGAAAGTGGTTGAAAGTGGTTTTTTACAGTCGACCCCCCTATAAGATATAGATACGTTCCAATTTATTAGGAATCCAATTTCTTACAAGTCGTTCCAATCACAGCCCGACACGTGTCAAGTTTACGGACTACGGCTGATTGAAAGGTTTTCTTCCATAAAATTAATCGATTCTACACTAATCCGACTCAACATTTCCAAAATACGTATATTTTTTCGTAGTTTTATAGGAATCGTAATTATAGGGGGGTCGACTGTA